CCCTACACGACGTCCGATCTTCCTTTTAATTATGTTTGAAATTATGAACATTGCTCAACATCATGAAAATTAAACCTTATTTTCAATAAGCAATCCTGAAAAATATTTGGGGGTGCTTAACTTTTTTCCAGGTGTATATATGTATTATATTTCAAAAATCTTGGTTAAAGTGGGAATCATCAAATTGCACTGGTAATTTCAGGATTATATGTTTATTATGTTTCTATAATTTAGATAATAAGGTGTCTGAGAATGAAATCATTGTTTTTTCAATTTATTCAGGCTACACACGTTCACGTAGAAATTGATGATTCTGCAGATGCCATGCAAGATGCGTTACACGATCTGTTACACACACTGGAGGCTGCAGCTACGGAGGCTGGAATAGTGACTGGATTGGTTGAGTCTATCCATAAATCAGTTGCAAAGGTTATGTTTTATTCATTGTCAGTCTGCGAAATTTTTATTTTTTTTTATGGGACACTGTTTCATACATGACAGCAAAGATACCCAAAGATATATCTTAATACAGTTTGACTTCTTTTTCCACAACTGACTTTACTATGAAATTGAATGGCTAAGAGAATATTGTCAAAAAGCTTGTAGCAAAAAAAAGTCTGTAGTGTAAGATATGAAAATAGACGAACACATTTTCATTGCAAACTTTTGGGCATTTTAACTTTAACGATTATTGCTTGTATCAGGTCAGACAAAGCCGTGATAATGAAACACATAAAGATACCGTGTATCATTCTTTCTTGTTTTTATGCATGTGTATAATTTTAATTTGAAAGTGCTTTTATGTGTGTGTGTGTCTATATACATATATATATATATATATATATATATATATACACTGTGTCTATACCTTTTCGTTTTCAAACTGTGATATATCATTTACTCAAGAAAGAAAAAATTATTGGAAAACTGATTGAATGGTAAGGTTTTGATATAAAATATACAGAAGTAATGACCTGAATAAAAAAAATATCTTTTGCTGTCATATTTCTGTTAAAAAACATTTGAGGATAAGAAAAGTTTATTTTAAATGTTCACAACTGTAGCTTACATCTTTTTTGCTTTTCTTGTAACAATGGCTACTAACTTTATGAATTTTAAAGCTGAATTTTGCCATCATAGATGGTGCAGGTGAGTCTTTAAATTCCATTTCTTATTTGATTTGAAAGGCATTTGCTTTGCTGTTCAATGGTAATTATATCTTAAATTTCTGTAATACCCAGTTTTGATACCTGTAGTGAGGACAGTACAGATAACCCATTGTATGGCTTTGTGCTTAATTACAAACAAACTCCAAAAACTGTCATTAAGTAAGACATATTAAAACAATCTTTTAGCACAGGGAACAAAAATTACGTTTAATTACAAAAAGATATTTAATATTCAAGGTTGTAATTTGCACATAAATCATTGTAAAGAGTCGGTAATGAGGGTTAAAGAAAGTGTAAGTTGTTTAATTTAAAATAATTAATTATTAATCTAATTGTTAATTAGTTACTGTGATTTACTAGAAATCCTTACCTATAATTGATCACTAATGAGGTTTTTTTTGTAGGTGGATGAACATGTTGTTTAATTTAAAATAATTATTTATTAATCTTATCATTAATTAGTTACTGTGATTTATTAGAAATCCTTATCTTTAATTGATAAATAATGAGGGTTTTTTTTGTAGGTGGATGAACATGTTCGAGTCTGTGAAAGTGATTCTTTTGCTGACTACCAAACAAGAATGGTGAATTCTTGTAAGGAAATAGCCAGACTTTCGCAAGAAATGGTAAGTGTTGATGCTAATGTGCACTGAGAACTATTACAAAAACCTATTTAACTGTATCATGACTAATGAGCACCTTTCAAGTGTTGAGTGCACACCTGCATTTTATATAATGTTCTTTCCAAAAACAAGTTTTTTTAACTTTCCTTTCTACTTATCCCTGAGTAGTTTTACCTACAATTGATGCATTTATCAGTTTTTTTACAGAATTTTTCAAAATATAACGACCATATCTTGCTTTTTATGTGCTTTTCGTCTTGTGTTAGTGGTTTTATCACTAAAACCCTTCACTGCCACCCCTTTTTTGATATCATAGCATATGGTATGAACAATTACTGTTAAAGTTTAGTTTTAAAAATACCGATAGCCAATATTTAAATACAATTGAACAGAACAGATAAAAAAATATTTACATCAGTGCAGAGTAAATAAAATGGTTTCTGGAGATGCTTACTAACTGTAACTCTTGTAAGGGTTAACAAAGGAATCTAATGGGAAGTTTGAGAACACTTAGGAACAAACCATAATTCTTGGATTTTATTAATTTGTTATTTCTTTAGAACTTCCTTTTGCTTCTGAACATTTTTTCTGTTTAATTTTCTGTCTATGAAAATTACAGAAAGTTTCTTTTATGACAAGATATTAGATAAGCCTAGTTAGGTTTAGCGAGTATGCAATAACAAAATATCTTGATGACTCAAATCTATTTTTATTTGATATTAAGGTTAAGTAAAATAAATGAATATTTAATAAACAGAAACTATATTTGTTGGATATAAATTGATCTTCACCAAGAATGTTTTTAGCCTGACAAAAATTGTGGTAATTCTAATCAACAATGAAAACAACTGAATGTCTAATACACATTGTGGGTTTTTTCAAAATGGTGTGTAACAACATATTTTTTGAAATATCACAATATAAAAATGATAAAGTTAATAAATAAAATTATGTGAATTTTTTAAAGTTAAAACTATTTATAAATGAAATTAAAGTACAATATTCAGGAAGAAGCAATTTTCAGTTAATACTGAATTATCTTGTATGAAAAAAAATTTTTGGTACAACAGATTTAACTCCCTAAATAAATAATTTTTTCTAAGAGTATATACACCAGTGATGTACATTTAGTTTTTTGTTGATGATGTAGCCAGTTATACATGACCTACACTGTTGTTACCACTAATAATATACATGACCTACACTGTTGTAACCAGTTATACATGACCTATATTGTTGTTACCACTAATAATATACATGACCTACATTGTTGTTGTTATCATAAAGTAACATATACTGTGTCATATACTATGATTGTCAGTCCTTTTTTTCAAAGAATGTAACAAACATCTATAGTTTGTGTTTTTATTGAAATGCTGAACTTGTACACTGAAATGTTTGGGTAACCTATTTTCTTAGGTGACTAAATCAACAACCGATGTCAGTCATCTGAGCCCCCTCGCAGCAAATCTCTCCCATCAGTATGCTATTGTTGCCAGTGACTCTCGAGGAGCAGTGAGTGCCACTTCCAACTCAGAGGTGAAGTTGGTTTACATATGATATGATCTTTTTAAATATTTTTGAGAAAATGTAGTTGAAAAAAAAAAATATTTACTTTTTCTGCCAAAACGTCATTAATTTTTTTTCTTTCATATTCAAGATGTCAACTATTTGGATTTTTTTGATACATTATTTTGTTCAGTATTCTCCATTGCCATGTACATCCATATTTTGGTTTAGTTTTTAATACAACTATCATGATTTCCATGAGAAATGTAACATTTATTTATTCTAAAGCAATGTTAAACTAGATTTACTTATAAATTGAAAATTATTTTGTCATTAAAGAAACAATCTTAGAATATATTAAAAAATATTTTTTAGCATTTAATATATATCTCTTAAGCATATATTGTCAAACATTTAAATAGATTATACAGTTTATTTTAATATGTTTAGTAATTTTATGTTTTCTGGATAGATATAGATTAGTTCCCGGTGCCAGTATTAGAGTTCCTGGTTGGTTGTCTAGGATAAGTCTTTATGATACACAGGTTATGTATATTTTTTATGTCACTGTTTGGAGACCATTTAAACTTCCCCCCTAGTTATGAATGGCCTTGTGTTTTGAGTCACTTTATTGTCATTATATACTGAAATTAGATCCAAAACCAGAAGTAGTATTCCATCCTTAAAAATGAAAAACTTTGAAGTCTCATTATTATCAAAATGATACTTCACTGTGTAATATATTGTGGTTTGAAACTTTATTTTCATTTAAATTTACAACTTTATTTTTTATTTTTTTCAGGGTTGAAAAGCCATGTATGTTGTATGTGTGTATTTTTTCCAACTGTTAGATAACTTTGTGAGTGTGTGTAATGATGAGACTTACTTGTTCAGCTACAGAGGTTTTACAATCCTCTAATGGTTCTAACCCTACAGAAGAAACAAACAAAAACTGTGTTTTAACAACAGAGGATGTCATAATGGTGGTCCTCTGGTGGGACAACTGTAAGCTTATTGACTTGCAGTGGTAGAATCTGGGGTTTGATTCCCCTTGATGGACACAGCAGAGAGCCTATTGTGGCTTTGCTCAAAAACAAACAAAATAATGGGGAGGTTGAGAAGTTATAATGGTAAAATCTGGGGTTTGAATCTCCTCAGTGGACACAGCTCAAATAACCCATTTTGTGGCTTTACAGACATCACATTCTCTGGGCTTCTTATCTATATATGTGGGAAATAAAGTATTGTAAGTTTCAACATAAGTGTGTCAATGGTATGTGTTAATGACAGGTATAATATTGTGTTACACCATTATATAACTTTTGATACTTAGACTTGAACCTTAGATTTAGACATAAAACAAGGCAGTGGCTGTGTTGATTGATATAAACAGTTCTATTAAGGAATATATTATGTTAACTTTCAGATAACCTTATTGGTCTTCAACAACTTGATTTATTCATAAAGAAAAGTTGGACTGAAGAGGACACATGAAAGTGTTGAAACATGTTTTTGTATAAACTTCTTGTTCCGACAATAGTGGATATAAACTTTATTTTATTTTGTACATGGTATTGTGTATTTACTTGCTATCATTATGAGACATTTAATAGCAAATATGATACATCCAAAAACAGTCATATTGAAGAAACCCTATACAAAACTATCTAAAACTATGAGTTTTTTAATACTACCCCCCCCCCCCCCAATTTGGAAGAATTATACTTATAATGCTAACAACCACCTTTCAATACCCGTGGTGGGCAGAGCACGTATAACCCATTGTGTAGCTTTGTGCTTAACTACAAACAAACTTTTAATAGTAGTTACTGTTTTGGCTATCCTCTTATGTCCAAGTAACCTGCACACATTAGCTTTAAGATCATTCAGAGAACTGAGTGTCCACCTTATTGGTGGATGGATGGATTACTACATTATTCCAGTTTTTTAGTACTAGTATTTATTGACATGCATGTCAATTCTACATCAGAAGCTTGTACCTAAAGGTTAAGTCTGACACACAGTGTTTCCCATCAGCTTTGTTTAAGCCTGGTACACAGTGTTTCCCAACAGCTTTGTTTAAGCCTGGTACGCAGTGTTTCCCAACAGCTTTGTTTAAGCCTGGTACGCAGTGTTTCCCAACAGCTTTGTTTAAGCCTGGTACGCAGTGTTTCCCAACAGCTTTGTTTAAGCCTGGTACGCAGTGTTTCCCATCAGCTTTGTTTAAGCCTGGTACACAGTGTTTCCCAACAGCTTTGTTTAAGCCTGGTACACAGTGTTTCCCAACAGCTTTGTTTAAGCCTGGTACACAGTGTTTCCCAAAAGCTTTTGTTTAAGCCTTGGTACACTAGTTGTTTCCCAAAAGTCTTTTGTTTAAGCCTTGGTACACAGTGTTTCCAAAAGTCTTTGTTAAGTCTG